ATGCATGCGTAGCTTTTGTGCGGGCTGGGAGCATCCGATGGGAACAAATGATCCTTATCTGGTATTCTGAGACCTTTGGTTGTGTTTCTTGCAAGCGCTGGTATCTTGATGGGGTGCAAGGGAAATGTCGCACAGAAAGGTCTTCAGACGGGCCCCTGGGTGATGCTCTCCTTTCCCATCTGTTTCCTTTGGTCTTCTCTTTGACTGTGCTTTTCATTTACTTTTTCAGATTGGTTTCACTCTTCAAAACTGGGATCCAAAAAACCTCATTTGATAATGAGTTTTCCAGGCTGACATTTATGGAGAACCTTTGGAAAGCCTGAGGTTGTTCTGGGAATTCTTTGTAATTTAATGGGATAATGCCAATTCAGGTGATTAAACAAACCAAGGTATTGGAATTTCTGGGAAAGTCCAGTTGTTTCTGTGGTATACTGCAAGTTTTGCCTTGGCGTCTCTTAAGACGCTTAAGTATACAAATGAAGAATTTGAGCAAATATGAGGTACTGCAATAATGATTTATAGGGAATATAAAATGAATTTGATTGAGTGGAAATGTTTCTCTCTCACATAAAAGATGAACTAAAAAAATCTGGGAGAAAGTATGTAATATATCTCCATCTCCATGCAATGGCTGTCTTCACTAGAGCCGTGTATTTCGGATGGTTACCCCGATTCGGCTCCAACAGTGCATTATATACCCAGAAAGGACTGCAAACATTTTGGGTCTGAGCCTAGAAGGATACTGCATAATGACGTCTATGGGATATTGGATGGTACATTTGCATCGTAGTCTCTGGTTTCTGCAGATGCTTTAAAAATGCTCTTCCTCCAAAAGGAGCTTTGATGCAGGGCAGGAACCAGGCTGCGCTGAGCCATCCAGCCTGTGGACTCCCTGGGGAAGGTGCTGCAGTCAGCCTCTCCCTCTCCTTCATGCTCTGGGGGTTGAGAGTCACGGAGTGCTGCGTGCCACCAAAACCACCTGAGCCCTCGCGTGGGTGCTCAGGGGCTGTCACCGAGGGGCACAGGAATATCCAAAAGGTTACATTGCTGGGAAATTAAAGTTACATGTTATAGCCACTAAGATTGATTTAAAGATTTCTGTCGGATTACAAGGTGACCCAGCATCATTCAAATTTGTCTTTCCTCAAATTGGTTATTGTTGAATATGATTAATGTCCTTCTAAGATACCTGATTCTACAATTTACTCTAGAAGCAAAATATGCTCTGAATAGGTATTTTGTACTGATGGGTGTAAAATAAGAGCCAGAAACTGTATTTTATCTGACATCACAGGTTATCCCTCTATTGATGCAGCAACACAGGTAGATTCAACCCACGGCTATCGGGCTAATCTGCTTGTCTCTTCATCAGTTCCACAGAGAACCAGAATTGCTCCCAAAGGAGAAAAAAAGAAGATAAACTGCCTTCCAGTCCCATTTGCAGCTTCAATAGTAACAGAATTTCTCCTGCAACATTGGTTTGGAGTGGAGGAATTATGAATAAGATGAAAAGCCTCAAAGAAGGAAAGCACACGTTTCTCAGGAGTTGTCAGTAACTCTGAGCTACTTCTGAAGTTGCACATTGTAGTTCAAAACACAAAGGATGATTTTATATTAAAAAAAGGAACAGCATCCAATTGCATCTTCTGAACTTTAATAGGAAGGTCTTGGCTTACAGTTTTAGAAGTGTGTCACAGGATCCATCACGCTTCTTTTTTGTAAAAATAAAAAATGGAATATTTTCCTGGTATTTTCCTAGCAAAGAATGAGTTCTTGATTTCTAGGGCTGCTAAGAAGATCTAACAGATCACTGTGAGACTTAGAAAGCATAAGCTTTACAAATTCCTTCTTGAGACAAGCAGATTAGTCAGGAGAAATGGAGCCAAAGAGTGCCCTTGGCTGAGACTGAGGCAATACAGAATAAGGCTCAGCAGGGTGGCCCTGCAGGGTAGGTGAAATATGGCTTAGAAAAGAAAACATTGTGTCCTTTATATTATTCTTAATCTTCTCATGTTCTGTGTATATAGATGGTAAACTTACAAGGGCAAATCTTGGCAGTAAGGCTGGCATATTTTAGTTAAAGAAATTAAAAAAAACAAAACAAGGGTACTAAGGAGAGCCCTTACAAGGTGCTCTTTGGCTGCAAATATTTAATCCTGACATAGCAGCTTTTTACTGATGGCCAGTCCACCAAAGTGTAGTGTCACTAACGGGTAACTACTTCAAAAGGGAGCCTCGTTTTAAAAAGCATTTTAAAACATGTTTTTCACCTCGTGAGCCCTGTTCATAAGCTCTGCAGCACAAGCAATGAAATTATGTCTTAGGTACATTCACAAACGCAATAGATTCACAAATATAATGTCATGCCAGTTTGTGTAGGCTGCTGCTAGAACACTTAAAACCAATCATAGATCTAGAGCCAAATTGCAACATTCATGCGGAATAAGGGAATCTCAGTATTCAACACATTTGTTTGCAGTTGAGAAAAGGATCGTTATTTGCAGGGAGCAATTTACACTTTGTTCCTGGCTCACGAGTAGGAAGAAAAGCATATTTCAATTACTGATCACCTAGAGAGTTCTTCAAAACATAAATCAATAAACCTTGCTTTCCAAAGAGTCAAACTTCAGATAGCTTTCTCTTTCTCTCAGCTAAAATTTTCCCAGTAATACCTACAGGGCACATTAAAGAATTTACTGAATGCTGTGTGTACTTTGAAAAGACTGGGATTTCAAAAAATAGGTTTTTAATTGGAGTGCAGTGTTATAGGCATTTGTAGCTGGAAGGGAGCTTGTAAGCATGGAGTTAGTTAGGTACACTAGAAATCTGGTGACAAAAGTGGGCAATAGATGGCTGTTCAAGGTTCTCTTTAACTCCTCACAGTGGAGTTTTATAAACTCTGCTTTGGAGATTTCCTATTCTGGTCTGCAACTTATTTATTTGTTTTTAAATTAAGCAAATTATGGTTTATGTTAGCATTTTCTGAAAATTTGCGTGAGGATTGATTTTTATCAATTAAGTACCAGCACAGACTTTTGCATAACTAATCTTTGAATGTCTGCTCTTGAGGAGTTTTTTCCTTTAGGACCTTTAGGTTGTAATTTCATTTAGAGACCGTTGAGGGACATGGGTGTGACTTCTCTCCAAATGTCAGAGGAGATTTTCCCCAAAAGCCAGCCCCTAATTGTCCAAGAATACATGAGGTATTCCTCCTGTCTGTATTTCTTTTGCCATGATTTACGGCAGAGTTGTGTTTCACACTAAAAAACAGGATACTTCTTTGCAGTTTCAGTCTCTGAAAGCAATACAGCCCATGCAAAGTTGTTGCTTGGTCTCTTAACATAATACCTATGTAATTTTAAATTGTAATGATTTTTCAAAAATTACTCATAAAATTGCCAAAGATTTCTTGCAGATTCCTCACAATACTCTTAAGTCAACAATTTTCTAAGTAATTCTACTAAGGTCACTGAAACTAAAAAGAACTGTGTGGACCAGTTTGCAGGTCCAGAATCATCTGGTGACTTCAGGGACCTAACCTGGCCCGCAACACCTTGAACCCAATTACCTGGGCTCAGCAGGGTGCTTCAAAGCCACGTAGGTGCCTATAGGGTCAGAGAAGGGAGTCAGGTGCCTATGGACTTCACCGGTGTTCAACATGCAGCTGCCTGCAGCAGATGCTCACTGCAGAGCCCGTCTCTATAAGCTGTCACTCTGCTGTAGTAGGAACATTTCTGTAATGGATTTTTTCCTGTCTGCTTCCTCTGATTCATAGAACCACAGAATGGTTTGGTTGGAAGGACCTTACAGACCACCCAGTTCCAACCCCCCTGCCATGGGCAGGGACACCTCCCACCAGACCAGGTTGCTCACAGCCCCATCCAACCTGGCCTTGAACACTTCCAGGGATGGGGCAGTCACAGCTTCTCTGGGCACCCTCTGCCACTGCCTCACCACCCTCACCGGGAAGAATTTCTTCCTAATATCTCATCTAAATCTTCTCTCTTCCAGTTTAAAGCCATTGCCCCTTGTCCTATCACTCCCTGCCCTTGTAAAAAGTCCCTCCCCAGGTTTCTTGTCGGCCCCTTTAGGTACTGGAAGGCTGCTCTGAGGTCTCCCCAGAGCCTTCTCTTCTCCAGGCTGAACAACCCCAACTCTCAGCCATAGGAGAGGTGCTCCAGCCCTCGGATCATCTTCGTGGCCTCCTCTGGACTCGCTCCAACAGGTCCATGTCCTTCTCGTGCTGAGGACGCCAGAGCTGGTTGTGAGGCTTCATCATCTTTCCTTTCTGGGTAGGCACGTGATTTTTTGCCACCACTATGGCTTTACAAATGCTCTTTCCAAGCCACAGGCTTTGATAATCGATCCGGTATCAGCCTCTAGCCATGGATTCAAACCGAGGCACACACATCCTGTAGAACCGTGTTTAGAGAACTGCAGTGTGACTAAGGAGGAGCAGGGTAAGTGGCACAGCCCTGCACACACTTTATCAGCGCTCATTGCAGTTCACTCCTCTTCAGGACCCAGGCTCCCCACGCAGCTCGCCAGCCAGAGCACGTCATCCCACAGCACCCTTCTTCACGTCGGCTTTGTGTGAACTGCAGTGCTATTTCAACCCTGAAAGGGAAATATGTTAAATGCTTTGTGTTTTTTTTTTTTTCTTCCTGCATGAACATTAGTGCATTTTTCCCATGCTTTGCGATTTTGCTCAGAAATTGAGAATTCAGAGTATGAAATGAAGTCAAACATCCCTGCCTAGGCTTACTGACTTTTATTGAGAGCTCAGATAAAAGCAGCATGCTGTCATGAAATGAGAGAGTGGGTTGTGGCTAAAACTCAGCGATTAAAAGACAGTTATGAAGAATTAAATTGCATGCTGACCAGTGTCAAGTTTCATACAAGAAGCAAATTTTCTGTTGAAGAATAAATGTGATCCAAAAATAATTTCTACTGAAAATTTTCGATTAGACGGCAGTCGAGGTCTTCAGAATGTTTTGGTTTCAATCCTTTTTCTTCCAACCGAAGGCTTTATCCAAGCTCTTGGGGATCTTCAGGCAAGATCCCAAGAGTAGTACCATTTTTCTAGGAATGAGACTGATAAGACAAACACTGAGTTAGCCTTATGGTTTTTTTAGAAAAATGTACTCTATCGATAAAGAAATGATAAATTCATTATATGTGCTTAACACTCCTAATGTCTGGCAATAACACCTTTGGCGCTCCCATGTTATAAATGGGGGAAACGAATGACAGACCAAGCCATTTTGGGAAAGCCCAGTCAGCGGTGGAGGCAGTTACTGGAATCAGACAGTTCTAGCCCAGGCATTGCTCCCAGTGCATCATCCCAGGAAAAATGTTTGAAATTTCCATACCCAACTATAGCTTAAGATGTATATTAGAGACAGAAGTGGCCAGAGGAACGCTACTCACCTAGATTATTAAAAATTAAAGCCACTGTTTCTTCATAGTTTGGTACATACAACTGGATTGAGTGCAGGAATACTAACTAAAGGTCTGTTTTTACTAAACTTTCTGCTGATTTTGCAGGCATATGGCAAAGGAAAGAAGGCAATGCTAGAAGACGAGTCACATTCTTACGTTTTGAAAGCAAGAGCTTGTAAAGTCAGAGGCATAATTAGATAAAACTTTTCCTTTTGAATTGCATCCATGATCTTGCTGGCTACATACTTTGCATCATAAACAGGAAGTAAAAGGGAGTTTCTGTGGAACAAGAAAAAAAGCATTATGAAATTATGAAACATTACTTTTGAGATGTATTCTAACACAGAAATAATTTAATTAAATCATTTAAGAATTTCCCCCCTTCCTCTCAAGTAGTCTTGAAAAGGAATCTCCCATCCTCTTTCTTCCTGCTATCATCAAAATAAATTGGTAACACTTTGGTGATGTTGTGAATTTTAATGACTTTTGTGCAAGCCCTGCTCCGACCCTGATGAAGTTAATGCCCACAGTGATTGCAGCATAGAAAACTTCCAAGCTAAGCCATGCTATATGCTCTATAGTGTAGCCATGCTATATGTTCTAGGCATAATAGTTCTGCCCTCCGCACACCTCCTCCTTTTGTACTGTAGATGTTGAGGTGACAGCTAAACAGACCAGGACCAGGCCTGTTTCCAGCCAGGAGAAAGGCTGTGCTCGGCATACCCTGTGCTACTACAGGATGATGAATGGTGGAAGCAGGAGCAGAGCACTGAAAACCCAAGATCACTGGTACTGCACCACTGCAATGGCTAATTCGGTGCCTCTCCCATCACTACAACCATACAGCCACCCACCAGATACTACCACCACAGCTATTCTCACTCGGAGAAGTATATATAGTACCTGCTAATACAGATAGTAGGGCATAGTTAATAATGATAGGTCACGGGTATCCTGACAGCCATCACTGTAATCACCGTGCCAAAATTACTTGGGGGAGAGAACCTCAACAGTGCCCGTTCTACTGACAAACACGTTTGCCTTAAATACTGCTGTGTATCCCTAACCGTTCCTTGACTGCGAGGTTATTATGCAGTCCCTGTTGCATGTCAGTTATTACCTGCACACAAGACCTGGATTTCTTATGTCAAGAGACATAGTTGTATGTGCCAATGGGACAAAAATACTGAATGGAAAAGCAAATCAACCTTATAATAGCTAAAGACTGAACATGGCATTATCTAGCGAGTACTGATTATTTTTTACATATGAAATAATAGTACATGATCTAAGTTTTACTTACTGGCTTTGAAAACCTTTGGCTAATTTAGTATTAACAAAATAAGGGCAAATGATTGTAGTTTTAATGCCTTGTTTTCCTGCATGATACAGTTCAGAATTTAAGGCTTCCATCATTCCAATGATTGCATGCTTACTTGCAGCATAATCTGAAAGGTGAAGAAAGAAGAAATATCCAAAATGTGTCAAAAGCACCACAGTAAGTGTCACATACAGCATGTAATGTTTTGTAATACTATTTAAGCCCTGATACTACTTAGTGATAGAATTACCAGTCTTGTAATTAGTGTTTTAAGGACACTGTGCATATTGGTGATGCTAACTATGAAGGTTAATGGCTCTTCCATGACTGACGCACAGCTGCCTAAGGATAAGATTAATCCTTTCCAGAGGACTTTTTTTCAGTGCACTATAGGGAGATACAGGAAGATGAGCTTATTCAACATTTTGTGTGCATTTCCAGATACTCATATACAAGCCAGGCATTCTTTCAGTTCTGAATGTCTTCACCCTTTAATATCACAGTTTACATTTCAGTAAGAACTATTTCTAGTGGTAAAATCTAAATACCTTACTTATAAATACTGCTTCAACGTATTACTTCTTCTTCTGATTTGCCCTGCAACTACAATATCATTTTGTTTGCCCAGAAAGAATGAATCTTGTCTGATTTTATTGTTTGATGAATGTATGGAACTTCATCCTTGGAGAAAATCAAAATTTTCCCTCACAAGATCCTGTGCAACCTGCTTTACGTTGGGCCTGCTTTTATGTGGGGGTATGAACCAAACGACCTCCAGAGATTCCTTCCAACCCAAATTATTCTACGATTTTGCAACTGTGAGAACTTTATTTTAATATAGGAATTTACATGTGGTTTCCTAAGGCTTTTTTCAAATGTGTATGAAAATAGTTGTTAGATACAATGAAATCCGATTTTGCTACAAGAGCAACTTCAAAAACTGGTATCAGAGACAGTTTGTTATTCTTCAGGGATTCACCTGTAATGGATGATGGAACCATACAACCTAAAACCGCATAGCTGAGGTGTAAAAAGTTATAATGCATGGATGGGCAGGTTCACTCTCATAAGCCTTACAGTGAAACGATGAAAGCTGGACGTGACCTGTTGCCAGTACTGAATCTGACCCAACGATAACAGGTGGCAAATAAACGCTACAGTAACACTGTCAAGCAGCAGAAGAAACAAAAGATACTTATTACACTGACGTTCACATTCTCATAGGGTGACCTAAGAGATACCACCAGGATGTCAAAGAGGTTTGAGGAGAGACTGGGCAGCAGACCCAGGCTGATGAAATAGTCAGGACTGTAGCAGACAGCTCTCCTGAGGGAAATAGCTGAGAATATGGAGCTGTTAAATAGCTTAAAACACAGTTCATTCCAATTAATTTTAATGAAAATTCTGCCAAAATGCCTTCTGGGCCTGAAAACAATTTTCCAACTAAATGTATAGCTCCAGGTATAACCCATGTATGTCTCAGGACTCTGAACATTCAGCTGCAGAAAATCTGGCATGAGAAAGTGATAGACCACCTGTATGAAGGTCTCCCTCTCACTGCACATGTATGAGCTGTATTGTCCTTCTGTGGAGGTAAGACAGGCTACAGTCAGACAGTAAAATCTGCAGTGAGCTCCCTGTGCCACTCAGGCAACATGCCACCATCATCCTCTTCAATACACCATCACCTTTCATGTCTGCAGGCTCTTCCTGAGTGTTCAGTAGGTCAGTATAAACTGCTCAAGCCACGTATTTATGAGATCTCCATGAAAAGTTATTGGTATGTAGATCTAATTTGTAATGGCACTTGATGATACTAACCTGTCATTCTGTAGATACCCAACAATCCTGCTGCACTGGCTGTGCTAACCAGGTGTCCACGGTTACAGGTCATCATGGCTGGAAGAAAGGCCTTGCAAGTCTGAGACACATAAAAAAACCCTTTATAAGTAGATATGCCAAAAATATTGAATTCCAAATTAGGCTTTACAACTCGATTTGCTTTCTGGGGCTTCAATATACAAGAAACCTAACTGACCTATCTCTGTAAGAAGAGAGACAGCATTTCCTTGAATGACTGCCCTCTATCTGAAGATCTGTCAGCATTAAAATCGTATTATTAAAAGCAGCAAAGTTTGTATTTTCTCTGCCTCCTGGTTCCTCACGGTTTGAGTCTATTTGAGACCATTACCACAGACTTGGTACACAAGAGGGAGCTAGAAGTCAACACATGAAGGGGAGTTCAGCTGTCTGTGGGCCCTATTTGATACAAACCGAACTGCCCGACAACTCCGGCACCCCAGGCCACCGCTGTGGGTGATACTAACCATGTGAGGAGGAGGCTAGTGTTTTATGAGGTGGAGGACAAGAAAAAAGACAAAACCAGTAACACAGTTTTTTCAGTATCTGAGATGTCCTGCAATGTCTATTCGACTCCAGATGTCTGCGTCTAGTACATATTTTTTTTGGTTGAGGGCCCACAGTCACTGTCCTCCTGCCCTATGTCTCTTCAGACCTGTCAGGAGGAACATCTCTCCCAGTCGCTTCACCTCGAGTATTTGGAAGAATGATGCACTGTGCGCTGGGAAATAATTAGAGAATTTCTATCTGCAATGATTTTCCATTGAGAAATGCCATTTAGTGAGGGAGTTGCAATGTTACATTTTTCCCTGATGCAGGCTGCTCACTCAGGCATATAAACAACAAATGCAAGAGGGGGCAAGAGTAACACTCCCTCACAACAAAACCTCCTAAAGGTCAACTGAGACCTCCAAATAACATCAAATTCCTTCAGAGGTACGAAAACAAAACAAAGATAATACACACTATCCAGATTACTTTTCTATGTACATTAAGCACATGGTGACCTGAAGACTGACACCAACACATGCAGCATAGAATCACAGAATCGTTTAGGCTGGAAAAGACCTTTAAGATCATCGAGTCCAACCGTAAATGTAACGCTGCCAAGTCCACCACTGAATGATGGTTGGGCCTCCCTGAATGCTACAAGTCTATTAGACAAAGCCTTCTGATGCCAGCAAAGATGAGGAGCAGGGAAGTCACATGCCATCAGGTCAGCACTAACTTCAGCCACAGCTGTGACACACAGAGAATTTTCACAATGCTTTTGATTTACCAGAGTGCCCAGGCAGGTTTGTGTTTACCTTACTGAGACATACCGGGGGGACTGTCAATTTGGTGTGTCTCCAGTTACAGGATGATTTAAAAAAAAAAGTATCTTCCCTCATTCAAGGCCCTTCCCATCCCTATTCCAAACTGAGTTCCCCAGGTAGGTGCCACTGTGGTGATTTTCACACTAAAATACTTGCCTGTACCTTTCAGTCACGCCGGAGAGAAAAAAATACATTACCCAGACTTGAGAGAGGAAGTTGACTCTTAAGGTCTTTTCAAAATCTGCATCTGGAATGTCACAGAACTTTTTCCCAAGCAGTAGGCCAGCATTATTGATTAGAATAGTAACATCCCCAACTTCTTTTCTAACCTGAAATAAAAAAAGGATAAACAGAAAGCTTTAGAAGGTATCCTTCCCTCTTGTGCTTCATTTATGAAAATGTTTAGTGATATTTGCGATTATTTATCTCTCTACTGGAAATGTAAGTACATAAGAGCTGTTGTACCACATCAGATCAAAGGTCCATCTAGCCCCATAGCCCTTGTCTCACGGTGGAAAGCAGTAAAAAAAGGACCAGGACTCCAAGGTCTCCTCCAGTGTACTCTCAACTTTTCACACTCTGCAGCTTAGGATCTTCCTGAGAGAGATAAGGTATCTCTATCTTTGTATTTAACAATCCCCATGATTTTTTTTGCCCCCAAAGAATTTGTCTAATTGCTTCCTGAACTCCAGAATACTTTTGGTTTCCACTGGAGCTAAGGTAACGAGTGACAAAGCTTTAGTGTGCACTGTAAGCATGCTTTAATTGCAACCAGAACATTTCTTGTCCCCTATTTCTGGTATTGCAAGAATCCGTATTCCTCAGCTGAGCCCGTTCAAGCCCTTTTCCAGATCTTTTCTACTGAACTGGAAAGAATTCAGTCCAGATCCCTGGGCAATACCAATCCTTTGAGTGCAGAAGCACGTACCATGAAACAGATGTACCATGAAATAGAGAGATAACATCACTTGGAGAGAAGGCCAAAATCACTATTAGCTCTATTTGGGTTTGTCATAAAAAGATTTTATTCCATTTCATTCCATATATCCATTCCAGTGATATACAACCATGATTTGGTTTTATATCAAAGCAGATGGCCAAGATTTACTTATAGTATTAAGAATCAGGCTCACTGCAGAGATTTCTGTGCTAGAGGCAAATGGTTATTTGGCATCTCAAAAATTGTATGGCTACAATTGAATGGCTACAAAAACATAAAAATCCCAGATACGCTGCTGTCCGGCAATTTGGAAATAGGTGCTTGGCTCTGGTGCCCCAACATTTGACTGTCCTTTGACTCTCTCAGGGAACCTCAGTGTTCAGTGAAGACTCATTGGATACTCCTCCAGCTGTGTCAGGCTTTCTCCTTGTTGCAGACAAGCAGGGCTCGAATACGAGCACCTTTCCACCTTACTAGCACCAATGAATGCAAATCCGGATAGTGCTGAATTTGGCAGAAATGCCCAACTCTTCCTTTGTGGGATATATGTGTACTTTCTCCCCACTTGTACCTTTTAACTACTCTGTCACTCTGTATGACGATCCTCGTTTTCTTCACAGGACAACATAGCTTCCCCAATGGCAGCATTTTATTTAATCTGGATTCATTTGACCTGTTTACTTACAACCCCAAAAAACATGGGAAGCTTGATTTCCATTTACAAGAAGTCAAGCTGATTATTCTTCATTATGTATTTCTTTAGATGTCTGTTAATTCTTCTATTACTGTTTCTACCAATTTTCTGTAAGACAGGTTTGCAGTTTCTCTGTATCCTCTCAAGTGCTCTTTAAAACTGGCATATTTGTGACTGTTTGTTCCTTGGACACCTGTTGTAGTAAAACACCCTCCTTGCATTTCTAGCTCATCAGGTCCATATCTGATTTCCTTCAGAATTCCCAGGTGGACACTGCCTGATCTTGAAAATTAGTTGCTGTTCACCAGTTTATTCTAAAACCTCTTCTTTAGGGACTTTGATGATCTGATTTGCTTCCCAGAAAGAAGGCTTCCATATGGGAAAATACCTAGGTTTTTCTACAGTGACTATATGAAATAGAAGCAATTAATTTAACTTTTCTGCTATTGCTTTATCTTCTGTGACCAAGCTCAAGACTTTTCATATTACCAACCAAAAAGTTGCAGGTATTTCCAAGAGTAGAGGAGGTCCCTAGCTGAAAATCTCTTGATCTAAAAAAATCTCCGGCTCCATCATGACTGTTCAATTCATGCAAATACCTACAAAGATGTTGGTATTTTTAACAATAATTTAACATCTTAACAGCAATTCCTGCATTTTAAACAGCTCTCCGAGTTTCTGCTTGTAGGTCAGTCTGTGCAGTTCAGAGTACTCTTTGCTGATATGGGCACAGCAAATTTTGCAGGCTGGAGCCCTGTGGCTAATTCGGTTAATGTGTTTGGAGACTGAGAACTGCTTGAGTGCACAAAACAAACATTTTGAGACTCTGTTAAACTAAGAACAAACAAATAATTTCAAAATGTTTAGCATGGACGGGAAAGTCCAACAGAGAAATTACTAACATAAGCTTAAACTAATCATTTCGGTGCATGTCTTTGCAAGAAGCAGATAGCATTTATGGGAATAGGGATTTAATGCCAATTTAAAATGTTATTTTTTAAAGAGATTTGATCTTGCTAGATTGTAAAGTGATTTTTTTCCTTGCAAAAAGGGAATTCTAGAAGAATTGCTGTTTGATTTATAGTGTCATTCCAAACAAAGATCAAGTGTCACATTTGAAGTACTGACTGCAAGTTGCTCAGACTGATTTTTTTCATCTTGCTGGAAAGTGGTAACAGATATTAAGATTGTTGAAATTACTGGGATTCCTACTCCAAAATTGTAGGAGTCATAGTTAGTATCTTACATGGTGAGGATCATGACATCTCTACTGCCCAAGTAATTGGCAAAGATTGTCCTTCTTGAACACGAACACTGCATATTGGGTCAGCACAGGCCAGAGCACTTAACAACTTGCTCATCTCTGCAGACTTGCTATTACGGTACCATACCTCCTTGCCACCACTGTCCAAGTAGTACCATGGTATCACTTACGGTTCTTATCATCTGGCACTAATGGCCCCAAATGGAAATTTTTTCTGTGCACTGTTAGTTGACTGTGCCCCAAATGCTGCTAACAAGGACGGGTGAAAAAATACCTTGGTGACTGCGAGCATAAGAAATGCAGTTCCAGATACTTACAGATCCTGAATCCAACTTACCCTTTACAAGTACTTTTCATCAGGAACATTTCTTGAGGAAAACCATTTATTTCAAACTCTCATAGCCGTGTTCATAAAGAATTAATCTGTTTTGGTTAAAATTAAAAGCAACAACCACAACACAAAGAGCCCCCCTGACAACTCATAGAAAATTAATGTTACTTTTCAAGGCTGTTCCAAAACAATCTATCAACATTCATGTGTCATGAAATATTTTAGCTAATTTCTCTGATGTGTGCCTTCGGACACAGAATGTCAAAGATGTGACTTGAGAGTCACGTATATAAATACATATACTGAGAATTTAACAGAAGTAGAATTTATCCTTGGATAAAACGGCAGAGTGGCTAACTGGATTATAAGTGAGGTTATACTGGGAAATATTTTCAGGCAGGACATAGTTTAAGGACAAGTAAAAATTAATAATGTTAATTTAATGTCCAATTTCTGGACTCTGATAATAATAATAAAAAAGTAATAGTTTACAAAGCATAGGTCAGCACAGCATTAGAGCCTCATTTAAAATGGAGTCCTTCTCTACCGTACTTTCCACCTGGATTGACCCCAAAAGAAACTGAAGCTGAATCATCAATTTGACTGGACACTGGCCATGTCCTGATAATATTTCTGAAACCATTACACTCCACATCACCCTTACAAAACTAGTTTTCTAAACAAATGGACAAAGAAAAGGACCCCTCCCTTACAAGTTCCACTGTTTTTTTAAACCCTTTTTTTCTTGATGTCTTAAAGAAATTTTAAAGTCTGAACAAGCTAGTACATGGAGCTAACCTCTGCTGCATGTTCTACCATACTCTTAATTTAAAAGAAGTTACCATCTCACAATGAAGACTGGAAATGGATAAATCTCGACAGAACAGATTAAACCCAGTTACATTATTACAAATAGTTTAAGTTCCATCTAGAAGCCCCTTGTCAAAGAGAAAGTTATTGCCCTACGTGATTACTTCCCTTTAGTGGATAGTACAGTTTCAAAAAAAAAAATATCAATAGCATATACTATTAAAAAGAAGCAAAAAATCAGAAGCAAGAAGCCAAATCAGGAGCCAGAAGCCGTATCTTACCTTGTCTGCCTGGTCATAGACCTCCTCCCTATTGCTGCAGTCACAGTGGTAGGCAAACACTCGTTTAGCTCCTTTTTCTTGGGCTAATCTGCTTGTTTCTTTGTTACCTTCATCATCAATGTCCCAAAGAACCAAGGTTGCTCCCAGAGGAGCAAAATTTAAGGCAATCTGCCTTCCGATCCCATTTGCAGAGCCAGTAATAAGCACTATTTCCCCAGCAAAAGTTTTTTTGCATGGAGGAAATACAAATGAGATGACATTCTTAAAAAATGAAAAAATTAGTAATTTCAGGAACTGTAGTATCTTCAGGATGCTTCTGAAGTTGACCATGATTTTTCTGGTCTTCTGTTATACAAACCCAGAAATACAGTATGTTACCGGCCTTTCAAAACACTGAGCTATTGACTAAAAAAAAAAAAAAAAAAAAAAAAAAAGAGACACTTTCAAACATCTATTTCTTTCACAGTGTTCTTTTGAGCAGGTACAAAATGCATCGTTAAAGGCCTGTTTTGTGAAAGTCGCAGGAGGTGGTGGTATCAGCTGAACAAAAAGGTACTGAGCGCACTGGTGGGATATCAGCCTTCGAAAGGAAGGCGTTCTCCTTAGCAGAAGATGTTCATCTGCTGTTTCAGAAAGCAGGCAACAAGAACGTATCTGCACCCTGCATATTTTCCAACACCGTATAGCCAAAATCACACAACATATCTTAATTTGTGAGCAAATCATCCACCGCAGAGAAGAGCACGGCTCTGGGAGTTAGGAACCTTGGGTTTTATCCTGCATTTAGACCATACCATTTCCTTTACAGCATTTCGGACGGCAATGGCATGGCTGAGGAGAAG